TATAGCTACTTCAGAAGCGTGGTCATTTGAAGGATGTATTCTGGGACGTTTGTCCCTCTTCTTCAGAAAGACTTGTTAACATGGGCATAACTAACCAGGCATCCCAGGAGAGGACAAAGGCACACTCATTAAAATTAGCTGAAAAAACAACCCACATAACAGATATCTATTGTAATGATACTTCTGTTGACTTTCACTGTGATGAGTAAGCAATATGTTCCATAAAGCACATATGGGCCGAAGAGTGTAGCTAACAGCAGGGGACTGGTTTCTGAGTTCAGATGCTCACTCTGTGCCTCTTTGCATTCAGGTCCAATGCATTTATTTCCCTTTACGCACTTTTCCTTCCCTCCACTCCCTCCAAATTAAAGCTCACCTCTGTTTGGAGCCATCCCTAGTCAGACCTTTTCTTTCCTGTGAGTAACACATATGCATGCTGTAGTGGACATATAAAAATACTGCTGGATGACAAGCAGTAAATAACTCCTGGTGAGATACTGCTGCAGTGTTTAATGCATTTATTAACCATGTAGTGCTGTGATTTGTAGAAGCTGGATGCATAATTGCAAGATAGCATTTCTGGAAATGAATCCAGGGCTATTGTGTCTGCATAGGATGGAGGTATAGGGATTTGGGGAATGGGAAGCAGAGAGTTACTAAGTTTGGGAGGATGTTATGGTGGTTATTAGGTGCAGGACAAGAGAAGTCTAGGTTAGAGTGAGTCACTGAGTGAGCCACTGAGTTTAAAAGGAAACGTGAGGGTCCACAGAGTCCCATGTCTGGAGGAGAAATATCTATAAGCAGTATTCCCTTCTCCTTTCAGAAAACCACAAGCTCTTCTTCCAGTCCTGATATTCTTTTCTTTCTAGGAAAGAAATAAATAAAATTTTACTTCTGCTCATGAGAGTTTTTTTTTCTTCTGGGCATGCAGTCGATTTCTTTACCCGCCTTTGACTAAGTCCAACACTTTACTTTAAATATTAAAAACTAAAGGTTGCAAAGACCAAAACAAGGCTTGTGTGACTAATGTACAGGATACTGAAGCTCATCAGAAGGTGCATGAATATGATTATCTCTAAATATCATCTGTTGCTTGTGCTACCACAGTGAGAAGATTCTCTGTAAAAGCAGATGTTAATTTTTACAGAATATAAAAGCTTAAGTGAGTGCAAGGTTGTTGGCAGTATGGGGGCAGCTTTGTCAGAGTAGCCCACATTACTGAATTACAGTTCTCTGCAAAGCCGGGGAGAGTGGCAACCCATCTTACATAACTTTGGTTTATAGTCAAAGGCATGTCACAGATGAGTGTATAAGTCATTAGCAAATGCTATTTTACCTCAGTAGAAAATATCTCATACCTCTTTCCATATGTTTAACCAGTTATTTTAAGCTGCTTTTCTTTCACTGTTTTTTTTTTTTTTAATTATTATTTTTATCAGCCTATCCCTGCTTGTGTTTTGTTTAATGACAAAATTCCCACAGATCTTTTTGTCACTAGCTAAGAGGTTTATATTAAAATTCAAAAAACTTTAAGTTTGAATACGGTCTTATTAACCATAGAGTCATAGAATGATTTGAGTTGGAAGGGATCCTAAAGATCACCTAGTTCCAACCCCCCTGCCATGGGTAGGGACATGTTCCACTAGATCAGGTCGCTCAAAGCCCTGTCCGTTCTGGCCAGTTATGTGCTATCCCATGGACTTAGGTACTTCTAGCACCTTTGAAGGTGCCTTCTTGCCTGTATGTTAGGCATGTAGGAGACCTGAGATGGGGGTTGACCGTGGATCTTCGGCATCGTGAATAATGAACAACTCTCATTTCCCAAATTTGTTGATGGCATAGATATTCCCTATTGGAATTGTCTGCAGCTGCACGTGATGGGCACTCATTTATATTGTTTAATTATTTTGGATAATGGAAGATGTTTTGTGGTAAATATCTGACAGCTGAGGAGATCCTTCATAATTCAAATGTATGTCTCCCAATCTGTTTGTATTTCCACCAAGGCTATCAGCATAGCCTCCAAGCCCTGATTTTTTTACCTCTGATAAGGTGTTCAATCACTGTACCACAAATATAGCAGTTCCACTACATGTAGTATCGTTTCTGCCCAAGAGCAAGGCAGGAAGAATTTTTACCTTAGATCGTAATTACAGGACATACACTTTCTATAGCACTCTCTTCAACACATAGGTGTTTTTTTTCCCTTTACTTGTGATTTAGTGATGCACTGTTGTATTATGGTAGTGCAGTCTATGCCAGCATTTCCATTACAACCCATTTTTACAGGTTTATAACTCAACAGTAAAAATGTACTCTTCCAATTTGAAACATGGCATGCCATGTCTCATCTCATCCTCAAAATGATAGTTTTTTCTTTCTTGCTGCTTTCCCTCCCAACCCCAAAATGGTCACATTTTTGCTGTATTTTTAAATGAAAGATATTTTCCTTTCTGTTTTGATAAGAGAAAAGCTTGCCTGATTATTAAAATTACTCTTCAATTCTAAGAAGGGAGGACTTTATAATAGAGGATAAATGTGAATAAGTGTTGTTGATGTTAGAATGACTACATTAAGTATATGGATACAGAGAATTATTACCTTCCAAATGAAAGCTAGGGAATATTGATCAGAATGAGTGAAAAGCTTTTTTTTTATGTTGATTTTGTTTCCAGCTGTTGATTTTACCCTTAAAATAGTGTTCTCAAAAGTAAATAAGTTTTAGCTGCTGCACTCTATTGTTTGTCAGGCTAAATGAAGTAAAGGAAGACTTTACTGCATATAGACAAAAGAATATTTTTATCTTATTTGAGAAACATAGTACAGAAGGAACATAAATTCTAACTTTGGTGTTGAGACCAACTACCAAGGGTAGACTTGTAGTTAGAACAGTGTTATGAATCCAAAGTAGGTATAAGCAGCGAAGCACAACGTTTCCAACAGACAGATGCTTGTGTGTACTAGGAAGTTTAGAATGGAATGACAAACAAAAAAATGAGACTTGTATGGTCCTTAGAGTTTACAATGTTCAGATCTGAACATCTACTCATACCTCCTCTGAAGCCTCATATTCCAATCCAATGTAGTATGGGTGTTTAGGATGTAAGAAAACCAGGATTTAAATCCAATTTCTTCTTCTTTACTCATCAACTTGGAGCCAGCTATTTAGGAGTTGAAATCTACGCAATTGCCATCAAAAGAAGTTTCCTAATCTGTGTGAATACCACCACCACTGCAAACAGAGCAAAAAGACTTCACTCTGTTGCTTCTTGTTGTAGCAAATTTACTTCCAGGCATTTCTTTTTCCATTCAAATAGTTAAATTTATGCTTACCATAACCACTTTACTTGTACTAATTAGAAGAAAGGGTATGTAAGAGAGGGATTTCATGAAGGGTGTTTATTAATGAATTTAGCTATATTTTAAAGCTATCAATGTATATACAGTATTCATTCTTACTGTAGCTAAGCTGTCTTTCTCTTAAATACCAGCTGTTTCAGTTTTTCAGTTGTCTCTAATAATCTAAAAATATATTTTTATAAAATAATATAATAATAAAATAATAAAATAATTTTATTATATAAAGATATAATGAAAAGCAGGGAATATGCTTCCTAATGAGAAGCTCCTTCGTGTGGATTCTAAAATCACTAATTAGGTCAAACAATATTTTGTATCCATAAGCAACACCAGTGGCTTTCAGATATACAATAAAATAGCCATATGTGGAACTGAATTTTCTGAGGGCATCAAATCAGAATGTTCAGCACTTCCTCATATCAGCTTTAGTCCAGTCCATCTCTGCCAAAACCAGTGGAATTCTGCAGTGTAAAATGAATGCAAGACTGAGATTTGGGTTATAATTTTTTGCAGGAAATAAATTGCGTGTCCAACAAAACTTCCAGGTAGAATGAGATGTGCTCAGTGCAGTCAGTAGTTTCAGTGTGTAATTCCAAGTCTTCTGTTGTAAGACTTGATTGTACATTTAACACTGGTAGCTCATATAAAAGAATGCTGTTTATGTTTCTGGAATATACAAAGAAAGAAATTATATTGAGAATCACTGAAGTACTTAAATCAGCGACAGCAGCATTTATTGAAAATACCTTCAGCACCATGGAGATTACTATTGCTATTATAGAAAGCTGAAAACTCCCAGACCAGTCATGTTCACTTGAGCAATGAAAATATTAAACGCTGTATGATGCCAGACAGAGTGCACACTATTGCTTTCATTTTGTATGATACTGTCACCAGAAATGTTTCTTGAGTCAGTGTGGGGAGCACACCGCAATAGCAACAGATGGATGCTTATCATAAGACATGGCTGAAGATAGAGCAGATTAATTTTTTAGGCTTTGATCATTTAAAATATTCCTGCACTTAATAATATTCCATGTATAATAATCAGTGAAAGCAATGTAAACAAACAGCTCAATTTGAATTACAAGTATGTATTTTAAAAGACATTAAATGTTCTTTTTGTAAGTTTTCTAGAGAGAGTCTGTGGCAGCCATGCAATGTATTAAAATACTATTTGTATTTTCATAGTAATACATGGAGAAATTGCAAGAATCATTAAGGATAAAATACTCCTGTGTTGTATATTTTCCTAAAACTGAGGCATATGATAGATTTTTTTGTTAATATGCAGTGATATTATGGTAATTGCTAACTGTTACATTTCATTTCTTCTCATGAACATCCAGCACCATTTTTAAGGGGCCACAGAACATAACATGTTCTCTGAAGCTGATGGCACTCATCGTTATAATTGCTAAGTACCCTTAGCTGACTGTTTGAAGTTTTGCTGTTAATTCAAATCAGAATGTGAATGTTATTGGAAAACATGTAGTTACATTTGGAGAGTTTATTTGCTAATCATGTGCAAATCACTGTCAAAATTATAGGAGTATGACAACCCATGTGAATTCATCTAATTGTTTTGTGCTGCTGTATATATAAATTGTACAGGGAATAAATTTTGAATTTGTTCATAGGCACAGAAGAAGCGGAAATCCAATGAATCTGTAGATACAGAGCTCTGTCTTAATGAGGTAAGTGTGGTGTCTCCTCATAATATGAAAAATTAAGTTTGTCAAGATTATAGTGGATTTACCTCACACTAAAGTGTTGTTAGTATTATTATATTTAGATACCATAATGTATTAAAGAATGACCTTACTCAGAAACCCAGAGCTGGGCTCAAAGTGGCCTCTGCTGACGTTATATTTTAATATCTGTATAGTATGTGTTTAGGCAGATCCCATGGTAATTACCACTGCACCTAGTAAGTATGATTAGTTAATAATCTGCAGGAAGACAAAATTATATGGCTTTTAAAAAATACAGAGAAACATACTGGACATAATCCTCTGGCTAACAAAAATTACCAGTTTAGGGCATGAAATGATGTTTACATCAGGAGATGTGATGCTCATACGTCAGAAGACAGATTGGCAGCCCCAAGAGACCTGAACCTCACAGTGCTGTTTGAGTACTCTGCTCAGCCTGACCTCCAAGGCCCCCTTTCAGACATAAACATTACATCAGTTTCCCTGTCTGTCAGTCCATATCCTTTGTACTGAGTCTCTCAGGAAGCTTAATAATTAGTGATATACATAAATTAATGTTTACAATGTGGAAGCACACAGCCTAGGCATTGGATCAAGACCAGCTGTACAGGCATAAGCCACCAAACGGATGTGACCATATCTTTCAGGTTCTCCTTCACCACTCCAAATTCGCCCCGTTCTTCCAACTAATGACAATTCTATAGCACATTCCTAATTCTTTGGGTTCTATGAAGAATTTCCTGTAGATACTAGCATGTAGCCTCATAACATGAAGGAACAATGCAGTAACGTTAGAAGGTCTGTTGACATCTTATGCTGGCTAGAAGACCTTACACAGGAAGGCCCTAGTAACTGTGGTTTACCATCAGAACTGCTGGTCCATCTGATCCCTTGCTCAGTCTGTGACAGTCTCCAAAAAGCAGATGCCCAGGGTTGAGTATAAGAAAGCATATTGTGATAATACCCCCCAGTGCCTCTGTTACTTCTAAGAGTTTGCATCTCAAGGCCTTCTAGCGAGTCCTAGCAGGTGATATCAGAGTGAGGAAATGGCACGGAGATTTATGGCTTGGTGGACAGTCATTCCTGTGGAAACTGGTGCTTTGGGGATTTTCAGATCCTGAGTGGACAGGGTATGAGAAAATTTGCATGGTGTAGGTTGGACTTGACCTAAGAGGTCCCTCCTAGTCTAAATTTTTCTACTTCTGTGATTATACCTGTTAGGTTTTTCTTTTTCCTGGTGATGATAGCAATGAGAAATATTCTTGCTATACCTCCTCTTTAAATAGTTCACTATAATCTGCCAATCTGTACTTGCATATGCATAGTTTAATTATTGGTAGCAAAGAAGGCAAGAAATGTAAATAATGCAGCAACTAAGGGAAAAATGGCATGAGAAAGAAAATTTTCATAAACTAGAAAACTCTGCCTTTTCTGATCCCATGGATTAGATTTTATTTATTGTTATCCAGAAGTAACTTGTCAAAGTTGTTCTGTTGACTGTGTAGAAGTTGCAGTTTCTCTGCAGGTCCTGCATTTGCTTTTTAAAATAAACTGACATGATAAACACAGATCGGTAAAATTTGCCTTACTTAACAATGGCACGTCATTTATACATGGAACTACAGCTCAAGTAGGGATTTTTTAATACTTTTTTTTTTTTTTAATTGTGCTCTAGTGGTGTTCTAATCCTTTAACTTTAAAATACTGTCATTTTAATATATGTTTTTGTGCCTTCTGTATCTTTTAGTCTCTGACAGTGATATATAGATAACAGTGGAGGGTGGGACATAAACAAACAAAAGATGAATTTCATGATGTAGATTTAAATATTTTGCAATGAAAATGTGTAATGGTGACCAAGGAAAGTATTGTGTCTTGCAGAATGCTATTGGGAAAGACAACACAGCAGGAGTCTCCACCAGTCACATATCTTCAGAGAATTCGCTCGCTCTTCCTAGAAGCTTCTATCTAAGCACACCGCTTACTCTGATGACACTTGCACTGTCACTGTGTTTGTTCCTAAGCTCATCAGTCGTCTTGTAGCTGCATTACAAAAGGACATGTAAAAAAAAAAAAAAATTCTGTTTCCTGTCCTCTGTTGTTCATCTGGAATTCCAGGTCTGGGAGCTAAGCTGAGGCACTCCTGCTAGAACAGTTTCAGTCAGCTGGAATTTTTTTTTTCTCTCTCGAAAAGCTTCTTGTGATATTTAGAGGCTTTGTGAAATACTTGGTGCAGTGCTACATTCCAAACCCAAAAGGCTTTTGGGCATGCAGTGTTTTAAAGAGACAGTGTGTAAATTTGCCTGTAAAGCGACCTGGTTGGATTATTTTAATACTTATTATTTTAATTCTGGCTTTTAACTGAGAAGGTGGATGGCAGTTTTCTTAAGATCCTATTTATCTCATTGAATGGTTTTGGTTTTCATATTGATTGAACTTCAGACTATCAAGGATGCCAGGTTTTTGTCTAATGGTGAATGTTCTCCCAGAGGGTGGACTGTATGAAACTTCTTCACTTGATAAATTGCTACTGATGTTAAACTCTTTCAGTGTATTAGCATTTTCCTCTTTAAATGTTTACGTACTGTAAGTGGTTCTGCGTTCCCTGCTGAGAAGCCATTATAATTCGCATACAGGTATAATGTATGTCTTTCAGTTAAATTCGCATAAAAAGTGTGGCATAGAACTTTCTAACAGTACATTTATCTTTTAATTATAATCATTTAGCCTTAACAAGGGTGAAGATTCTTTAAATTAACAAGAAGCAGCCATTGTGAAAGCTTGGTAAAGATACATTTATTTGAATTTGAGGATAAGCAGTAGAAACAAATTTTGCTACAGGGTTTCAGCTGTACAGTCTATGGTCTTCTATGCTTCCACTGTGATAATATAGTCCAGTTATAATACTGTTTGTTTAATAAAAAATGACACACAATTTATTTGCTCTACCAAAACAGCATTATCTGTTTATGCATAGCTGATACTATCTGCTCAAAAAGTTACAGGAACTTCATGCCTTACTTCTCTTATCACAAGAGATAAAAGAGGAGGGGGAAAGGGGTAGTAGGATATAATTTCAACTGTGTTTTCTTTCTTAGACTGCTAATATCAACACAAAAGGATGGTTGATCCAATTACAAGGCAGGGTCATGCACACTCACCCATGTGACAGGCTTTTCTCACCCTGGTGGTTCCTACTGCAGAGCTTGGCATTGCTGACACGATGAACTGATTGCAAGACCAGTTCCATAAATTGTTTTAATGGTTTGGATGGCAATATTGCCAGCATATATGATTTAATCACTTTGGTTTTCATTCAGTGACATTGACAGCCTGTGCTGTCTCATGATGATTTTCTGCAGTATCTAAAAGGAATTCTTTAAAGCTTTAAATGTCATCAAATAGGCAGCATTTCTCCTAAGGGCTGTCTTTGTACCTTACTGTGATGGCTTGTTGACTGTTACAAGCACTAATGTCTAAATGATCAACAGTAATCAGTTTTTGGTTTTATTGAAAGTAGAAGATAAGTTTACCAAGCAAGGAGTTCATCATATTAAATTTACAGATTTACATTGTGACTTACACAGTTATGCCTGTTCCTGCTCTGAAATGTCCAGATCAGTTATTTCCAACACAACCATAAAGTACAAATTACTGTTTTATAAACTGCAGTGAAGTTTGGGAGTGTGCAAAACACGCATCTTACTAAGAGACTATTAAACCTATTGACAAGTTCATCTTTTGAGTTTTTTCTTAGCTAATAATAAACACATTCATAAATTCTGAAATTCATTTATGTACTCTTGATGGTCACATAATACAGGTTTCAAAGCACTGTGTATATGATAGAATTCTATGATACTCTATGCCACTGAACATAACAAATTAGACAATATTACTCTTTAATTCTGTGCTGATAAGAAACTGCAAATTACTTTCAAAGGCGGCAGAGCTGCTTTTGGAGAAGAAATATATAGCACATCATTACCAGCAAAGCCCATGTGGTTCCTGTTGCTCTTCTTGTAGAAGCTAATCAAATTATTGAAAACTAGTGACAACAGAAAAAAGATTACGAGATTCATGATTTAAAAAAATAAATCAAATTCTTTTATGTCAAAAGGAGTTGATAGTATAACCTATTGAAATGCTAATGAACATAGCATTATAATTCAAAAGTCTGACATTATCCAATTAAAATATTTTCAAAACAAATTCATAAACATTAAAATTATTAAATCCATCTTTGATCCACATAGCTTTCTTTAAAATATCATTTCTATTCAGCACATTACACATTTTAAGCAGTATCGGGAATTTTAATAACCTCCCAGTATAGTACATACTTTTTGAAGATTTTTTACATTTAGTTTGACTACAGTATCTCTGTTACATTTAATACCAGTTATTAGAGCTTTGACACTGTGTGATCCAGGATAAAAGCTATTGATCATTTACACTGTAAACAACAACCTAATTAGGTTTTGATTACAAAAGAAATTGCTAGTTATCTGATTCAATGAGAGTTACCTTTGGAAATACAATTATGTATGTAGTAGAGGAAAAAATGGCATCTTATACAGCTAGCCATGTTACCACAAACAACAGACCACTCAAGCTTCTTTTCCTGTGTAAATTAAAAGCATAAGGAATTCTTAATTAAAAAATAAATTGCTAATTAAACAGGCAAGAGATAAAAAAACCTTAAGAGTCTGAGCCTTAATGAGGTTTTTATAGGCATCACCATGCAAATATTGGAGGATTTTTAGAAGTTGGATGTGGTGTGGATGATGTCAATTTAGCATGGTGACCTTGTCAATGAAGTCATTTGCTGCAGTACTGAAGAATGTAAATTGTTTAATTTTTTTTCTGTTTTCAGTCACTAAAATGCCATGTGTGGAGTGCTCACTGAACAAGTTTAGGCTGGGTTTTATGTATTCCTTTAATACATTGATTTTATCAATATAAAAATAATAAAGGGACTGTCCAAATACAGGATGTACGTACAGATGATCTACTATTTAAATTGTAAATTTAACCAGTTCAGTTGTGTGTAAATTAAATCATGGGCTACTGTATACATATACAAATAATCTTTTTCATTTAACAAAATGAAACAGACATTGTTGTTAGTATTATTAGGAGTGTGTATACTCTGCCATGTTAAATGACCTGATTATTTTGATTATGTTTCTTCTTAAAATTAGTACACACAAGATAAATTCAGACTGGACTGGAATATATGGCTAAGGTTTTGCAGTATTTAATGTAGGTGTTAATTCCACAAGCTAGTCCAGTGAAAGAGGCGCTGAAGATGAACCTTTCAGATATGAGTAAAAATAATTGAGACTGAGGCAGTGACAGCCCCATCGGGCAGCAGTTTCCCTGGCTCGGCTCCCTGGGATCCCAGCTGCTTCCAGAGGATGGGGAGGGAGGAAGCAGGCATCACGCAGGAGCTGTCCGTCCATCTTCTTGGGGGCACTGGCCACTTTCCATTGACCAGCTTCATTCCCACTGTGTTGTTAGGAAGAATTAGGAGGAGTGGGAATTCTTAAGCATTTCAAAGCATTGCATAGACAGACTCAGTCTGGATACCTGTTCCCAGACTTCTTTTTTCAATAAAATTATGTCCCTCTAAGACCCAACCTTTTGAATATGAGGCTGTCCATGATTTGAGGGATGTTGCAGTTCGAATCAGTGGACTGAAAACATGAAAGTACACACCTTTGGTAAGCCTGTGCCACTAGGCTGGAGATGAAGAAAACAGAGAAGGAATCACCTTGACATCTCAGTCTACTTTTAATTTGTGATTGTTGGTTTAATCACGACGATATTTCCACAGAGGAGAGATGGTGAGAAACCAGTGAAAGGGAAGAGCAAAACTCAGAACAGCTCCCTGAAGGGTCATACATCTTGTGTATGTTAAGTGACAGAAGTATCTTGTACTTATCTTGTAATAAAAGAGCTGCATTCTGCTAGAACAGAAGCTGCTTCAGAGCAACCAGTAAAAGATGGAAGAATGAGCAGTTATTTGTACAGCAGTTGTAACTTTCTTTCATAAAATGCAATTGTTTGTCTTCAACACTAAGATACATCTGCCCCACTGAAAAATATACGTTCACTGACAGGACTTCTGCATTAAAACTCTTCTGGGCTAAAAAGGCCTCCAAGGTTGTTTCATGCCCATAAGGTTAGTCAGATTTGAACTGATGTCCCTGACATCAAATAGAAATATATTTGCTTCTGATGAACTTGGCAGAGAAATTAATCCAGTCACTTGTTAAGTATTTCTCATCTTTAAATATTTGCTTTTTCTTACCAGCTCAGTTCCATCTATGACATTTCAATTATTGGCTATTTCAGTTTCTCCTTTAACTTTGGAAGGTCATTTTCTTTATACACTACAGTAATCCACTTTATAGATTGGCCTCAGTGTTGTGGGTTTTTTTTAATTACAGCCTTCGTTTCTGAGGAAAAAAGATGTGATCAGGAATATGTCTCTAGTGAACGACCAACACCTTTACAGAGGGAGGAAATTACAAGTTTCCTATTTTATCTGTTTAGCACTGGTTTGACTAGAACAAGCTGAGACATGATATTGCTATTCCCCAGATGGAATTTAAAATTTAGTATAGTACTGAATAAGGATTAAAAAGTTTTAAACTCTCACAATCTTTTATAAATATTTAAATAGTTCTAATGTATTTTCCAGTTGGAATTTCAGTCAAATAGAGGAAGTCTCACTAAGTATTTTTTCAAGAGTAAGAAGTTACATTGGGAAATTTTGATGGGTCCATTTTTAAGGTAAAATCAGGGAGGGTGGTGAATACCCTTTCTTAACTCAGTATTATCTTGACTTTTCATACACCCTTGTTTCATGTTCTCTTCATCTGAGTATGTTTGCCTTCAGGGACAGTTATGCTTAATAGATAGATATGGTCACCTCAATAATCAGAAGCCAGTTCCTGCAACTCCTACTTAGATGCTCCATCTCTTTTATCATTCATAAAGGCCAGAGCAACAGATTCAAGATGTGGCCTAAAGATTATCTGAAGTTTAAAAGAGCAGAGAGTCAACCAATTTCTCAGTAGCATTTCTTATCAATATAGATCGTGGTATTATAAAGTGGAACTGTCTAGACTTCTCACTAAAGTTCTCTGAGCACATTTAACCAGAGCAGCTGCAGTTTCTGCTGTTTAACTTTTGCCAGGTGCCAATAGCTGAATTTTGCCATGCATACACTTAGAGCTAATTGCTGCCTAGATTACAACAGCCAAACCTGATCCCACTTCAGCAAGGGTTCCCCTTTACCCCATTTTCTCCTGCTTTTAGTGATTCCAACACAATAATTCTTTTGCACTAGTTTTTAATCTGTCAAAAGGAGAATGTCCTAGAATCCAGGAGAAATTGAGTCATGGATTTAAGGGCAATTTCCTTCAAATGCCTCCTGTCAAAATACCACAATAATTGACCTTAAGTGTTGAATACCCACTGCCCAGCACCTTCAGACCTTATGAAACTGAGCAGGAGTTTGGGGGATTCAGCTTCTAGTAAATGAAACCATGTTTGTTTTCAGGCGTCATCAAGCCACTCATTCTACTAACTGATGTTATGGATACACAGAATTAGTTAGAGACAGTGTCGTGGCATTGCACTACTCCCCAGGTTGTCCAGCTCATGTCAAGCAGTTTTCCAGCATTTGTATCAATGATGCTAAGCTCCTTATGACTCCTTCTGTTGGACATTGAGGTGACATTCAAAGTTCTGCTGTTCTAAGTGCAAAACTATTATGTCTTCTATTGTTTTATTCTTGTCTGAAATACAGCCCCCCATCCACCCTTTTCTGAGTTCATTCTCTCAACCTACTTGGAAGCACCAAAGAGCTGAAAATGGTTGGCTGATGCCACCCAGTTCTTGGTATCATTCTCAGTGACCTAAGTCCATCTCAGGTCAGTAATCTCAGTCCATGTTTACTGGCCATTTACATAAAATCAGTACCACAGTGGGCACTAACAGGCAGCAGCATTCTTCTGGCCAACCACAGGTGCCCTGGTAACATGAGGTATGTTGGCACTAGCTGGTCTCTACTGTACCCAGGCTTTGTGTCTACTTCATCACCCAGGCCTGTCTGGCCAGTGCAAAGTTCACTTAGACCACAGTAATAAACCTTTTCAGAGCTACAAGCTGACAAGTAGATCATGCCAGGCTTGCTAGCTCCAACACCTTAGCTGGTCTGCACAGAATAAGAAGTTTATTTTGACCACTGTACTTGTCTTTAGATGGAAGCTTAAAAGGTACAAAAGCTAAACCCCATAGATATACTGAATTACAGGGAGATGTAAACCCCTTCAAACACAGAAGCCGACAAATCTGCTGAAACTCTGGAGTAATTTTCAAAATAAAATTCAAATATCGTGGTTCTCTCCTCATAATGTTTATGGAATAGGATATATATGAGAGAAGAAAGTTTTTGTCAAAAACAGGAGAAAGCCTGAAGAAACAAAAATTACTTCTTAGGGAACCACCATTTAGTTTAGAAGGAGATACTGCCGAGAGCACATTGCTGAGAAATGTATGTCCTACTAGGTAGAAGACAGAGAAATCGTACTTTTTTTTTTTTTTTTTTTTTTTTTCCTTTGTGATTTGGCCCATGGAAACTGTACTCACTTTTGAGAGTTGAAGCAATTCTCTCGAGAGTATGCTAACTAAAATGCAGAGGATGGGAGCACAGGGTCTCCTTCCAATGTTTCCAGACCTGATTATTAGTAATGACATCCACTGCCTGCTTTGGGGTGGATCAAAGACTGACCCTTAGGTGAAATTGATATTCAGGAAGAGTGTTTGTAAGGATGGTTAGAGGTGGAACAAAGTCCCACGCTGGATTGCATCTGTCAGTTCAGAGTGCGCAACCCAGACTGAGCTGAGTCACACACTGCTCATAAAAAAAAAGTGGAGGCAAAAATTGAAAGCAAAAGTATGGTCTTAAATTTTATATTGCCTCCTCTCTAGGAAGGTCACAGTAGAAGTGAGGAATAAAATCAACATCTTACCTTTTCCCAGTACCCTCCACTGTTTCTGGATAAGAAAAAATATAAATCCAACAGGCAAGCAGTGGAAGAAATTACTTCAAAGCACTGCAACAGGTGGAAAACTTAACTGGTGGCAATTATTAATCTCTGTGTTCTGCCCTCCCCCAGATTTATTGCAGCTGAATTTGATTAACAGGGTTTATATGATGTTTTGTGTATCGTTACTCAGTGCTGAAATGATTCAGCTGTGCTTAGTACCACTCATGCTGGGAAGGTGTATGTGTCTTTCACCTGAGGGTATGTCTAAGTTTGCACTTTTTGTGTAAAGTGCAAGTTGACAAGAGCTGGAGCAAAGAGGAAATAGCAAGGGAAGGCTCAGGTAAAAGTAATTTTTGTTACATCGCAATGATAAACGGATTAATTTAGGGTAGGCAGAAAGGATGCAGATAAAAGTAACACGTAGCATTTGGACCCAGGAAGACTGGCATTCACTGTGAACTGAGGTTATCCAATGTTAGTATTTTCCTGCTTTTTTTCTTTTCTTTCCCTTCTTTTTTTCCAAAACTATCTGTCTAGAACATGCTTATATTTTCTGGAGGAAATTCTTACACAAACAGTTACCTTGTTGTGTAAATTCTATGTTGTCTTACAGATTTCTGTACATCTCAATGCAGGTTATTATGTGTCAGGTCTTCGGTCACAATAGCTGGTAATTTGTTGTAAAAAAAATAAAAACACTGTTCACTTGTTCCTATTGACTTACTTACACATTGCTCTGAGGACATTGCTCTTTGGACCATCCACACTGGAAGTTGGTTCACGATGTTTGGCATTTTCTGTTAGAATAATCCTCCTGCATTAGTATTGTACATATCCAGAAAACAATCCCTCTCAATAAACGTTATTCTCTTTTTTTATTAAAAAGCATGTTTTGGGAGAAAAATTCCCTGGTTGGTTGTTCTGTTTTGATTTACACACACACAAAAAAAAAAAAAAAAAAAAAAAAAGGAAGCTTGACTGGCAAAAAAAAAAAAAAAGGCAAACAAGCTTATTAAAGGTTGATCTCATTGTTCCCTGTTGTTTTACAGTCCATTATGACCTAAGAAAATAAGAAATAAAGCTTTTCCCTTTAAATATCCATGCATTTGCTTGCTCCCTAGTCTTTTTGTGTTAGTGAATGTGGCCTGCAAAATTACAATGAGCAGGGAATATCAGATGGAAATGATGGAAAGACGGGCACAAGAGTGGCCAGCTGGCCCTATTCATACTTGTTCACTCTCTGGCACGCAAACACGCCTCCACACCCATCCCACCCCTTCATCCTGCCAGGCCAGAAAGAAAGGTCTCGCTCTTCTTTTCACACAATGGGAGCAAAAGAGCTGCAAAGGCTTCGAAGACAAAAGGGTCTGCAGGGGGGATATTTTAGGAAATGCAGAGTGTGCTGGAAGGGGTGGATAAACAAGCCTTCACGATGCACTTGCTTGTGTTGATGACTAGAAACCACAAAAATTATTTCAGCATTTACTCATATTCAAACTGAGGCTTAACAAATGAATCTATTACGGGCAAAGAGCAATCACACCCGCCTGCAAAACACTGCTGCACAGCAAAGGGCAGGCCAGAGCCTCCTACTATTTTAAGGCAAAACAGTTTCAGCTGCGGTTACCTCAGAGGGGAGAAGCAAGGCTTGAGGGCAGCATGCAAGAAGGAAAGATAGGAGTGGTAAAAGTGCACGTTAACCCAAGATGAAAGGGCTCATCTTTCAGGCCTGAAAAATACTTTCCCAAGTGATGCAGCAGCAGATCAGTGTCCTACATGTTCACCATCAGGTTTTGGCAGCTCCAGAAGGGGCTGGAGTTGCATGGGGTGCTGCAAGCGGGAGGAGATGTTTAGCTGTCCTGGCATCGTTTGCTGCTCAGATGATCTGTGGTTCTGGAGGTGGGAGGGAAAGGTGGCAGAGTCTGTATCGGAGCGTCTAGCAGCTCAGCTTGGGTTCCTGGCCCACTTAGTGAGGTTGCCTGGATTTAGGAGTCACTCTGCTGCTATTAGGGTCCTGTGCATAAAGTGCTGCAGGTACTTCAGCTCTTGCAGTGCCAACTCCTGAGAGTTTAACTAGTTCAAAGACACAGAGTTGGGGAATGTGATGTACAAAAGCAATCACAGTATTTGACAGTGCAAGTTAGCATTAGGCTTTCCTTCTACCTGCTTTCCCCCTTTCTCTATGCCACCACAGCACCAATGCCGTGAAAGAGGAGAATACGGAGGGAGGGACGGCACTGCAGCCTCCATACAAGAGGTACGGTGCCATGACAAACTCGTGCGCGGCAGCCTCTCCAAGGACAGATGAAACCAAGCTGTGTTCGACACCACTAAGCAGCCAGCTATGCATGAGCAGATGGGTTCTATTGTGTGCGTTGTCTGTGGGTTTGATTTTTAGGTTTTCTCTATTTGATTTTTTTTTTTTTTCCTTCACTTTTAGCTGTTACTATTCACACATAAGCTCCCTTTGACAACTGCCTTCTAGACTGTGAGATAATGACAATGGGACTTCTGCTGGACAGAGGCAAACTGGGTAAGTTAGTACCAGGGGTCTGCTTAGAAAGTGCACAAACATAAGCCACTGTGGCCATATTGTCCTTCTTCCACATGTATATATTATACCATTAATAAAGAATGATGCCTCATAGCATCTCTTGTGACAGAGAGGACCAGTGTCCTCATGAAGAAACTGTGTTCTCTCTCCACTGATCTGGATGCTAGGTGTTAAACAAACAGCGCCCACCACACCAGGCAATTTGTCTGACTTTTGGTAGGAATGTTAGTAAGGTCTAGTGATACCCAGAAAAGTAGGGTTATCTTCTTTTAATGACATTTATAGAATAATTTCAGTTAAATGGGTTGAGTTACGCAGAGACATTTTAAATGACACTCTAGTAAGCAGATGAAGAAAGCTGTTTGTCTTCTTCAAAGCAGGCATGTTAGAGGAGGCAAACTGGCTAGCTTCCCACTAGTTTTCTTAGAGCTGCAGATCCAGTGTGCCATGAAACCAGTAGAGGGTCTCAGCTGTCTAGGACGTGGCTTTTGAAAGGTGGTCTTAACCATTTTCCAATCATGCTCCTACAGTTCTCCAAACCACTCTGCCCAAGTACTCAGCCAGCCCCAACACTTGCACAGCTCCTGTGTATTGGCAACAAAACCTGTCTGTGTTATTGTCTGCTTCATGCTGAATTCTGTTTTACATTCAGAGACAGGAGTATGATTTCCTGAAACAATTTTTTGGTTACAATAAACTCAATTGTTTTGGTGATACACATATCCATTTTTGGCCCTGAATACAAATTACACTGCCTAATTCTGCATTGCCAAATTTTTTTTATCTATATTAATTACAGACTAACAGCAGAGCAACAGCCAGGAACAAGCCAAAATAGGCACTGGGAAATGTTCCGAAGTAATTGTGTAGAAGGTTTTTTTGTTTGTATTTTTTTGTTTGGTTTGGTTTGTTGTTTTTTTTTTTTTTTTTCCAAAGTGGACACTAGAAAATATGTTGCTTTGAGGTAGAAAGCATAACTCACAGAGTCTTTAATAAAAAATACATTTATGTTTTGTAGCATTATAAAATTGACTGGTAGTTGGTTGCTTTAGAAGGACCCAGCATCCAGGCCTCTGAATTGCTGTTGTATATATATATTTTTTTTTTTTAAAAAAAACAACATTCCACCAACATTCTTAGTGATGTTCGCTAAACAGATGATATTTATCTCTGTGTTTGCAAGTGTGCTACATCCCTCTTGCTTTCAAAGGATACATTAATGCAAAAAAAGAGAGGCAGTAGCGAAACTGTCTCACAAAGTGCACACACAGATATACAAGCATAAAAAACAAAAATTTAAAAATAAATCTACATTCACCAGTCCACTGCTGGCTTCATTCTGGAGTGGAGAGGCTTCAAAGGTAGTACTAACTGGGCTGAGCAGTGATATTTGCCTGTTTGTCAGAGGTCAGAATCTGGTGGCTATAAATACAGTTCAGCTTTTATTTGTCTCCAAAACAATATTTGTCAATACTGTAGTGCTGTTTTGAGCAGATCAATGGCTGCACATAACTCACTACCCAAGGGCTTTATTATTAATACAAATGTAGGTAGGCTAAATATTGAGTGACATTATTAGAAAAGGAGTGTCCTTCCCTGTCTGACTTTGATGTCAAATGAACTTAAAGCTCACTAGCACATAGGATGCTGCTCGTACTTGCAAGAAACTGTCTCTCCCTTTTTGCCTGTCATGGGAATTGTGGAATAAACTAAGGAAGATTATTCAAACTGAGTTTGGGAGTGCTAGAAACCTGAGTTAGCATACAGACAGAAGTTTGTCTTCTTGGATGAAAGGCTGAGTCATCTCTGTTCAACCTCTTCAGTGAGATGGAATTAGACCAATTTGCAAAAGGCTCCAGAACCTTCGTCCTCTTTAAACATAGCACGTGGGGATGTGACATAATTAAGAACTAGCATGTCCTGGTGACCTTGTTTTAAAGTAATGTCTCATTTCAGAAAAAGAAAGAAACACATGGAAAAAAAAAAAATACTGCTGAAGCAGGAGACTTCTCCACTGACAACCTGGTTTTACCCCCGACATTGCAACCCTTGCACATTGGGGTCTACACAGATGTTACACTGACACGTTAATCTGACCTGAAGTTGGACACAAGACCTCTCAGTGCAGCCCAATGCCTGCTGCACCTCAAATGCCACCACTTGCTCCAGCCCCAGTGGGCATCAGAGGCAGCCAGCTGCGAAGCCAAGGGAGCTGCTTTCCAGGCACACAGCTGGCTGCAGAAACAGGCGTCCTGTCAGGTCTGGTGGTGCCCAAGTATCTGATATGTGATTAGGCAACTGACTGATGAGCCGTACTGTGTTATTCCCTTAAATAATATTTAAACTGAGCTCATAAAAGAAATCTTGTTGACCAAAAAAGAGATAAATAGCCACGTAGAATGCCCCTTGGTTGCTAGCATGTTAAGGTGCTGTGAGATTTTTCTCCTGAAGTGAGCGTACACATACACATTTAGATAACTTTTTTATAACCAATTTTTATAATAAACAAGACAATCTTGTGCTTACTTGAAATGTAGCAGTGAAATTTTTAAAAATGCCACCCAGTATAGAAAAGGAATATCTTTCAGCTGAAGAACACAAAATTTGTGTAGTGGGGGGGTTTCTCTTATGATTACAGACTGTCTACACTTGACAATAACTTAACTTTCAACACCCAGTGACATTAATTTCACTTGACTTCCTGTCTTAAGGTCAAAAGCATTAATCAGCACTTCTATCATTAGCTCAGTTTCCTTTTCTATTAAGCGATTATGATCACTTACTATTAATGAGTCGTGAAGTTTTAATAAATTTTTGCTAGTGTGAAATTGCTAAACAGTAATTATGGCATATACTGTATGGACGGTTTGTTCCACAATGTACATTTTGCTTAATGTTGGTTAGAAACATCTAAAAAAAACAACAGAAAATAATTAACTAGTTACACCTGAGGATGTAGAATGGCCTTTTTCACCACATTTATAGTCAATAAAAAGACAAAGCAGGTCATTTTTTTTTTGTCATTGCTGGAATTATTGTATTTCTGGACCTTGTGACTTTTGAGGTTCTTTATATGAAATGGCACTGCCAAGGATGCTTACTAAACAGGAGATGAAAGAAAATATCACATCTTTTAAGAGCTATTGTTTTAACTTGCGTTATATTTCTACTGTTCTGGCATTGAAACAATGAGGTTAAAAAACAAAAGCCAGACCCTCTCCGTTAATATAGAAGAGAAATAACACAGCAAGACCCATTGCCAAAAAGTAATATCTGAATACTGGCTTGGCTTTCCCATAGCTTGCCATTACTCACAGACACATCTAAACAACCAGTGCCAGATGCTCATTTGGAACTTGGCTGAGGTTTTTATTGGTTAACCGACTTTTTTAAACACTCATCAACCAGGAGCTGGACTAACAGTGGC